AATTTTTGTCATTTATTTTATGCCTTAAATTTAATTTTACGTTGTTTTTATACAAAACTAAAGCCAATTTACGTAAAAGTAGGATGGCCCAAAATTCGGTTAACCTGTTCCAGATATACAGTACTTATGATTATGTTAAGTAAACTGAGGTGTTAAAACAGCGTGTTCTTCGTTGAAAGCATACGAATTACGATTATTTAACCTTTATAATTGTTAGCTGACTTTTGGGCAACCCTATACCTCTGAACTCAGGGAACATAAAAAAAAATGGCCGTTGTTTGAAGGTTACTTCTTTTGCACTTTAAAAAGAAATGTTCCTGACAGGTTTTCTGATCGTTTAGAGGTGTCCGTTATTAAAGGTTCGACTGTAATTGGTTCCGTCGTAAATCGAACCGTTTGGTTTCCCATAAATTAACTCAATAAAACCTGTATAAACCGGAATCCCACCACGATAACACTTTTTTCATTTTATCAACTTTTCGTTTTTATACAAGTCCGTTTTAGACAGGTTTTTACAGTTTTAGATACGTTTTAGACCCGAAAATTGATGCCAGACGTAAAAGCAAATATTTTAAAATACAATCGAACCTGCGATAAAGGACACCTGTAAACGGCGGCCATCTTTTTCAAGAACGTTTCATTTATGAAATGTACACAAAATCATCTTCGAACGACGACCAGTTTTCATGTTTCCTCAATGCCCGTGTTTTACAGGTTCGATCGTGTATCGGTCGTAAAGCGGGGGGAGATCTATAAAAAGATTTTGATAGAGTTTCGTTACATTAATTGTCGGTATAACCTGTCTAATTAGTACACTTTCCACCCTTATTTAAGGCAACAACAGTAACAATAAATAATGGCCATTATTGGTTGAGATTGATGACAGGGTGGAGCTTCTGTTAAAGGTGTAAATCGATCGCTTTCATTTCGTTAATTTCTTTTAAACACCCAGGAATTCGTTGAAGTGAAAATGTGTGACGTCATACTGCCTGGAAACAAACATTCCTCGTCTAATCGATGTAGATGCCATCTCGTGATTAAAAGTTTATTACTTATATGAGAGAATAAATTAAGACAGGAATAGTTTAAACAAATAAAGAACTGTATTTTCTTCATAGAACACAGGAACAGCTTAAATAATAGCCTAAGGTGTTATAGAACGTTAGGTTGTATCGGAGGAGACAGGAACTGCTTTGAACAGGTTGTTAGTAACCTGTAAATAGACAGGCGAATGCTTTTGAACAGACAGGCAATTGTTTCTATTGTTCTTTATAAACAGGTTAGTAGTAACTTTTGGACAGGCTATAATCTCTAAACAGATAGTCTGTTCGTTTTGAACAGGTTGGCATTCCTTTCAAATAGTTCCTTTTGAACAGACAGGCTGTTCCCTTTAACAGGTTGACAGTTTGCTTTCATGTCATTGCGAAATGATATGACAGCAGGAACTAGATAATAAATATAGTATATTGGAACACACCTCTGTCTTTATTATAGCAGCGTACATAACAAATTAAGCCCCGTGTACAACGTTCAAATCGATTTCATTCAAGTAAGTTAATTTTCTCTATTTCCCTGTATTTGTACAGAAAACATAAAGCTGTGTTTTCACGACAGAAGACACGGCAAAATATAATTCTCGTGTGTTATGAATGAAAATACAATAATTCCTTTCATGCCAAGTAGTTCGTTGATTAGAATTGAATGTACTCAATGGATTTATTCGAAATAGGAACAAAAAAAAAAAAGCACGTGAGAAACAGGAAACACGCTTATTTGTTTCTGATAGAATAAAAACCACCGGTTTCAAATTTCGCCACAATTGCACAGCTTACATGGCTCATCAGTTAGAAAATGAGTTAAAGCTGTGGTTATTTCACTCTCTGTAACGTTTGACATAAACAGGGTCGTCAGAGGAAAGGGGGGTCTGGGGCTGTAATGCTAAACTTTGAATCTATATAAGGGCTAGGATCGGATTCTGTGTAATATAATCTAAAAAAATCAACTTATAAACGGTAAAGTGAGTAAAACCAGTGGTTTTACGTCAGTTTTCTTCACGTTAGTAACACCCTAAATCAGTGGAGCGTTATCCTATGGGGGAAAAAAAAGGGCAATCCTCACCAGCAGGTTAAGATGTCATCCTACCGTTCTGGGAGATCCGGGATCAATAGGGCCCTCCCGAAGATTTGAAGTTATAACCATGGATGAGGGGCCAGATGGGCGAGCGGTTAAAGTGGCAGACTACCACTCATGGGAAATCCGAAGCTGAATTCTGAAGTCTCCTTACGGGCCTGGCCAAACCCATAATGGGCTCGCTAAAACCCATTAGTGGCCGAACCTCTTATTGCCCACAGGGAGAAAAGAGTTATACAAAAACAGAAATAATAATTATGGATAAGGAGAACGATCACGGGCATTGGGGCTAGAGCCTTCAGAGGTCCTCTAACCCTTCTTACGAGAAAACACTCTCGGTTTCTTTTATGTTAATAATGAAATTAAATAAATTGATTATCTAGACTAAAATTTTATTGCACGAATTCCATCTTGGGCCCCTATATAGGTCTGTGCCCCAGGGATACATCAGCGGCTTCCTTCTCTCATTGTATTGGATTTTTGTGAAAAGGCAAGACAATACGCGGGCCTTATGCAAATAATCCAAGGAAAGATGCCTCCTAGGAGGACTTGGCCCTGTTTAGGTGTTACAAACGTGGAAAAAAACCCGAAAATCTCCGCGTGGCCATCCAATAAGCTCAGTGGTTTTATCCACTCGGCCACTGGTGGGGCCCCTCTCATCGGCCTTGATTGCAATTTGTTTAACATTCAATTGCATAAACAGCAAAATGTTAACATAATTCTGTGCTTTGCACTTACTGAATTGCTATCATATTTAATTATAATTTATAGAGAATTAACAAACAAAAATTTGGCATTCTTACCTTGAAATTCTAATATTTTGTGGATTACCAGATAATAGATTTCGATATAAAATTATAAATATTATAATTTATTAATACCAGGCGTATTTTATTGCTTGAAATCCAGTTACATAATCAATAATATCGACATTCGAGCTTGTTTGTTTGTTGCATGTACAATAGCGCTTGTTTATATCAGTGGTTTTTCAAACACGACACCGGATAACATAATACAGCGTGATCCAAATAACAGTTAACCGCAGTAACTAGTTTTTCCTAGTTCTCGGTTCACCTACTTTTGGGCCATCCTGTCGTGTTTTCGTGATAGTATCGTTGTTATCGAAATTTTGTATTAGGTTAAAGTTTGAATTGTAAAGTTCAATTTAATTTGGTTTATTCAGTTATGGCTAATCTGCCGAGGTAGAATTCCTCTCGAAAAGATTTTTATGGGAAAATGGCGCCTTTCTATGGGAAAATGGCTAATACAGTCGACTCGAGAAAAGTAGGCCTATATCTATGCATTGAAATAGTCCTCAATCTAGATACCAGTCGACCCCCCTATAACACTGTTGATAATTCCGTTTTATATGAATTCCATGTTGTACGAGACACTTAGATTTTACAAATACGTGAGCCGTTCACAGCCCGGCTCACGTATTTGTAAAATCTAAGTGACTCGTACAACATGGAATTCATATAAAACGGAATTATCAACAGTGTTATAGGGGGGTCGACTTGTGTATGTGTTCCCTAGAGTTTGATTGAAGTCAGTGTTGGGAACTTTCAATGTTATTGGGTTTGCGGAAGAGGTACACTACGTAGCAATGCAGATGCAATTTAATCCTGGCCCATGCCAATTATTCAATTGCTGGAATCTAATCCATTATGTTTCTCGATAATCTACGGTAATCACCCCCTTTAAATTGCTACACTTATAAATAGAAAACGTACGATAACTTATATAATATCAAAGATTAAAATTTATCTATGAGATCAGCAATATATTTGAGTTTAAAACAATTATATTAGATGGTATTTTAATTTCGTTTTTGTAATTTCCTCCTAAAACAACTACAGTAGACCCCCCGATAACACTATTGATAATTCCGTTTTATATGAATTCCATGTTGTACGAGTCACTTAGATTTTACAAATACGTGCCGGGCTGTGAACGGCTCACGTATTTGTAAAATCTAAGTGACTCGTACAACATGGAATTCATATAAAACGGAATTATCAACAGTGTTATCGGGGGGGGTCGACTGTACCACTGTTCGATGATTTTATCCACTCCATAGTATTATAAATGCTTCAATTTGTCGCTCTGGAGGATCCGGAATCCAGTTCGGGTAATCTAATGAATTTTTAAAAGTGAATTATTCTCCGTACGCATTTGATCTCATCGTTTTCCGTCTGGTTTCTACCATGGAACTCGCGACGGGCAAAGGCGTTCCATGATGCCAAAGCGGTTAAGGCGTCAGCCTACCGCTCTGGAAGACCCGAAAAATTCCAAAAAAATTTTCAAGGGCAATCCGTCCAGAATATGTCTCCATTCCTCACCACTCTGCCGCCTTCATTGTAAGCCTGCCGAATCCATTATGGGTATAGAAAAAAAAGTGCCCACATCGTCTTTGTGCCCGCAAGGCGGCGGCGAACAGCAAAACAAGCGACACTGAACAGAGTTTGAAATACTTATATGAGAGAATAAATTAAGACAGGAATAGTTTAAACAAATAAAGAACTGTATTTTCTTCATAGAACACAGGAACAGCTTAAATAATAGCCTAAGGTGTTATAGAACGTTAGGTTGTATCGGAGGAGACAGGAACTGCTTTGAACAGGTTGTTAGTAACCTGTAAATAGACAGGCGAATGCTTTTGAACAGACAGTCAATTGTTTCTATTGTTCTTTATAAACAGGTTAGTAGTAACTTTTGGACAGGCTATAATCTCTAAACAGATAGTCTGTTCGTTTTGAACAGGTTGGCATTCCTTTCAAATAGTTCCTTTTGAACAGACAGGCTGTTCCCTTTAACAGGTTGACAGTTTGCTTTCATGTCATTGCGAAATGATATGACAGCAGGAACTAGATAATAAATATAGTATATTGGAACACACCTCTGTCTTTATTATAGCAGCGTACATAACAAATTAAGCCCCGTGTACAACGTTCAAATCGATTTCATTCAAGTAAGTTAATTTTCTCTATTTCCCTGTATTTGTACAGAAAACATAAAGCTGTGTTTTCACGACAGAAGACACGGCAAAATATAATTCTCGTGTGTTATGAATGAAAATACAATAATTCCTTTCATGCCAAGTAGTTCGTTGATTAGAATTGAATGTACTCAATGGATTTATTCGAAATAGGAACAAAAAAAAAAGCACGTGAGAAACAGGAAACACGCTTATTTGTTTCTGATAGAATAAAAACCACCGGTTTCAAATTTCGCCACAATTGCACAGCTTACATGGCTCATCAGTTAGAAAATGAGTTAAAGCTGTGGTTATTTCACTCTCTGTAACGTTTGACATAAACAGGGTCGTCAGAGGAAAGGGGGGTCTGGGGCTGTAATGCTAAACTTTGAATCTATATAAGGGCTAGGATCGGATTATGTGTAATATAATCTAAAAAAATCAACTTATAAACGGTAAAGTGAGTAAAACCAGTGGTTTTACGTCAGTTTTCTTCACGTTAGTAACACCCTAAATCAGTGGAGCGTTATCCTATGGGGAAAAAAAAGGGCAATCCTCACCAGCAGGTTAAGATGTCATCCTACCGTTCTGGGAGATCCGGGATCAATAGGGCCCTCCCGAAGATTTGAAGTTATAACCATGGATGAGGGGCCAGATGGGCGAGCGGTTAAAGTGGCAGACTACCACTCATGGGAAATCCGAAGCTGAATTCTGAAGTCTCCTTACGGGCCTGGCCAAACCCATAATGGGCTCGCTAAAACCCATTAGTGGCCGAACCTCTTATTGCCCACAGGGAGAAAAGAGTTATACAAAAACAGAAATAATAATTATGGATAAGGAGAACGATCACGGGCATTGGGGCTAGAGCCTTCAGAGGTCCTCTAACCCTTCTTACGAGAAAACACTCTCGGTTTCTTTTATGTTAATAATGAAATTAAATAAATTGATTATCTAGACTAAAATTTTATTGCACGAATTCCATCTTGGGCCCCTATATAGGTCTGTGCCCCAGGGATACATCAGCGGCTTCCTTCTCTCATTGTATTGGATTTTTGTGAAAAGGCAAGACAATACGCGGGCCTTATGCAAATAATCCAAGGAAAGATGCCTCCTAGGAGGACTTGGCCCTGTTTAGGTGTTACAAACGTGGAAAAAAACCCGAAAATCTCCGCGTGGCCATCCAATAAGCTCAGTGGTTTTATCCACTCGGCCACTGGTGGGGCCCCTCTCATCGGCCTTGATTGCAATTTGTTTAACATTCAATTGCATAAACAGCAAAATGTTAACATAATTCTGTGCTTTGCACTTACTGAATTGCTATCATATTTAATTATAATTTATAGAGAATTAACAAACAAAAATTTGGCATTCTTACCTTGAAATTCTAATATTTTGTGGATTACCAGATAATAGATTTCGATATAAAATTATAAATATTATAATTTATTAATACCAGGCGTATTTTATTGCTTGAAATCCAGTTACATAATCAATAATATCGACATTCGAGCTTGTTTGTTTGTTGCATGTACAATAGCGCTTGTTTATATCAGTGGTTTTTCAAACACGACACCAGATAACATAATACAGCGTGATCCAAATAACAGTTAACCGCAGTAACTAGTTTTTCCTAGTTCTCGGTTCACCTACTTTTGGGCCATCCTGTCGTGTTTTCGTGATAGTATCGTTGTTATCGAAATTTTGTATTAGGTTAAAGTTTGAATTGTAAAGTTCAATTTAATTTGGTTTATTCAGTTATGGCTAATCTGCCGAGGTAGAATTCCTCTCGAAAAGATTTTTATGGGAAAATGGCGCCTTTCTATGGGAAAATGGCTAATACAGTCGACTCGAGAAAAGTAGGCCTATATCTATGCATTGAAATAGTCCTCAATCTAGATACCAGTCGACCCCCCTATAACACTGTTGATAATTCCGTTTTATATGAATTCCATGTTGTACGAGACACTTAGATTTTACAAATACGTGAGCCGNGGTATTAAGCATAAAATTGCCATGTAGAACTTATCGCAAGGGAACACTTTTGATGGATAATATACACTTAATTTTTGTACGAGAGAAATGCATTTTGGACTAGTTGTCCCTTTTCGGTCTTTATTGTGCAATTTGATAATTACAATAAGGAAGTTCAATTATTCTGTAGTTTTATCAAATTGTACAATAAGGATGAAGAGGAGCAATTAGCCCAAAATGTATTTGTTATACAAAATAGTCTATATTAGGGGTTGCAAACTGGCGATCTGCGAGCTGGATGTTACCCATTAAGGCTTCATATCCGGCCCACAGCCTTGACAATTTCTTTTCTAAAGATCAATGTTTCTAATGTATCGTGGAGACTAAAACAGAAAAATTCAAACATCGTAAAGGCCTGGTAACAAAAGGACATTTGTTAGAGCTTTTTTTTTTTTTAAATTATGGTATGTTTTAGCTTACCGAATAATATTGAATATGGTCTGTATTTGATATACATCTATTTAACTTGCCCTTTGCTTTGAGTTTGCGACACCTGGTTTATATTATTCATCAAAGTGTTCCTATGTGATAAATTCTACAAGGCAATTTTGTACTTTGTTACAAGCAGTGACGTAACAAGGGGGGACAAAAGTAGGCATATGCTGCCCCAGGTACCGATTTACAGGATGCCAAAATGAATCCATAGAATAATTTGTTTAATTAATCATGAATTAGGAGTGTCAGGTATGAGGTTTGTATTGGATGCCAAAACTGTTTGGCACAGCTCTGTAGAATCACTCTGCAGAATCTAATCTGACAGCTATCAACACACAATACTATGATGTCATGATGCTCTATTTATTTCTGGCTCAATAGTAATTTGTACTTGAGACAAAACTGATTTGTTTTCTCTTCTTTCAGAACAGCTGCCAATATAGTGCTGATACTCTTGTATGAACTATTCATTAACAACTTCAAAGTATATTTTAAGAGACTTCATTATATTTGGCTTATTATTTTTTAATTTTTCTCCTTTTGGACATTTTCAATTGCTCATTTTTTTCACTTGTGATAGTTGCTTCATTGCCTTATCCGTTGAGCTTGCCTGGGTCTACTGTACAGTTGTACTATTTTTTTTATTAAAATTTATCTCACCAATTCTACTGTTCTTACCTTACTGCCAATGGCTTGTTAAGCAATTGTCAAAGCACATCTACCCATTAATTCTCTTTGTTTATACTTAGGAGTCAAAGAATATCATCATTAATTTTTTTGGAAAGTCTAAATACATTTTGTGAATATGAATTCCAAGTAGATGTATTCTCTTTAATGAGATTTTAACTCATTACACGAGATTTTCTGCCATTAAATTACACTATTTTTGCTCGGTAACTTTATTTTATAAATTTAAAGTAATTAATTTAAAATAGCATTAGTTACATTTTTCAAAGGTAAGAAAAATGACAACTGTCAAGTGATAGAATTTAATTACACTGTAGTTGTGATCCACCTAGTTTTATTGTGTGTGTTTATACATTCATAGCATAAAAAATTGTTTATGAAATCCAAATAATCAAATCATAGGAAGCAATATTTACAGGTTATTCACTTTTTTTAACCACTGGTACAACGTACAGATAATATTCGGTTGAATTTTTATAAGGAAAAATTTTCTCGTATAACATATATAAATTCTCAGTAGACAGACACTGTACAATTGCCACACTAGGTGTTTGAATACCTTTTTATTTGAACTCCAAGTAAAATTATATACAAATTTTCCTTGCCGTATTCTTTAGATTTAAATGTATTTCTATAAAAATAATTGATCTGTAAGAATCTATGATGATCTGTGAATATTAATTTACATAATATTCCAAGAATACAACTCTTACCGAAATCATAATTGTATTGTATTGGCATTTGGAAGTTAGTTCAGTACTCTGAGTTAAGTCATGTTAATAGTTAATAATGAATTTGGAATGTCTATATGATGAAAAAAAGAAAAGATGATTAATTTTTATTCCATCTTTTAAGTATCTTTATAATAATTCAATTTTTAGTAATCAACCAAATTCATATATTGTCTATTGCTCTCAACATGCTGATAGTTTAAAATAAAATCATATCTTATAAATTTAAAGAACTTTCAATTAGTAAAAATACAAAATTGCTTGCAACTTAAGATATTTTAGTTGAGACTACTTTGTTTTCATTTATTTTGGGTTGCCAAATATAAACAAAAATCAAACGTACACGATTGTGACGTTGTCGCAATGCCAAGCTGCAATTTTTAATAATAATTTTAATTTAAAAAGTCGTGTGACTTCTGATCCAGGCCAGAAGTTTTTATGTAGTTAATTGGTGCCTCTGGCTCCTAAATTTGTTTTATCTGGTCTCAATTTTCATCCCTCTAACTCTTTTTGAGATCGACAGACAGATGATAGTGGGAATGTATAGGTCTTGCAGCCCAATAAGTGAAGCTTTGATTAATCGATCATACTTAATAGCTGGATGTTTTGGTCTAAATCTATGTTAATTTTTAAATTATGAAATTTGGCTTAAAAGTAGACAGGTATGCCACTGTCTTGTATTAAGACTGTAAATTGGAAATTAACTTTGAAATTACTAATTGTAAAACAGGTTGGCGAATAAACACATTCTTTTAGGTAAAATTATACGAGTTAATTCGGTGATTTTCAACCTTTTTTTTTCCGTCACGGTACACTTTTAATAGTTTAAAAATTTGGCGGCACAATAACAATAAAATAAACTTATATTTTGTAAAAATAGCATACGATAATAAATTTCAATGAAATATAAAATGAGATTGCATTACGAAGCAAACGAAATGTTTATTTAATGATAAATTACAAATTACATCTAATGTGAAATTTGAGCTTGGTGTTTTTTGATAACTTTATTTATATTTGGGTGTAAAAATGATAATGCTAATCTCATATTGTGAACCAGATTTTAAAGTCTGGATCTTCTTTTCGCGCCCTAGGAAGGTAGAACCGATT